CATACTCCTAAAAGACGGGTCACCTTTCAGTAGGTAGTATTGCCACTAGCTATGATCCAGAATTTACCCTTAAAAGTCTATAAAAACAAATGTATTGTCATAGGCAATCACAGTTTTACTAATTACATATATTACTGAGAAGTGCTTTTGCAGATTAACAAGATCTGAACTCTGAAAAAAGAATCCATCAGCAGTAATAAATAAGTGCTACACATCTACCGATCAGTCTTCCTATATATATAACAACTAAATTTGGCTTAAATAAATATATCCTTACTAGTCAGATCTCTATGCATAAAAATCTAAATCATATTAACTTGTCTGAGGGGTTGACAAGATGAAGGAGAGGAGATGGGGAAAAATAAAAACTCATGATACTAGACAAGCAATGTTCCAGAAGAAAAACAAATGCCTTTGTTCTAATTTTGGGAAAATTCAAATTTTCATGGCTGGGGTGGGAATGGGGCACTCTTATGTGATTAAAAGATCCTTCCTGCTAAGAGCTACTTAGCAAAACTTGATTTTCAAATAGAAGTTTCTGACCTCAATCCTACTAATTAAATAAAAAGAAAATGGGAAATATAATATTTATGATCAGATAAAGCCAATAAGTATAATATTTATGATAAGATAAAGCCTAATAAATATATTATTTATGATGAGATAATCTAATTTCAGAAAATATCCTAATTTCTACATAGAGCCACAAAAAGAGTAGAAATATTTAACAATTCATGCTATTGCCAGAGGAAATTTCTCAGTAAACAATTCATTTTCGGATCAAACTAAAGTTTTAGAGGTATTGTTTAATCTAAATAGTTAAACGCTGAGTACAGTAGCCACTTGTTGTAATCCCTGAACTATGAGAGATTGAGGTAGAAGGATCTCTTGAAGCCAGGAGTTCAAGACCAGCCTGGGCAACAGAGTGAAACCCCACAACCACAAAAAGTTTGAAAAAAATGGTGTGGGAGCCTGTAGTCCTAGCTTACTCAGGAGGGTGAAGCACGATGATTACTTGAACCCAGGAGTTCGAGGCTGCAGTGAGCTATGATCATGCCATTGCACTCCAACTGGGTGACAGTGGGAGACCCTGTCTCAAAAAAATAAAAATAGCTGAGCATGGTGGCTCACACTTGTAATCTAAGCACATTGGGAGGCTAAGGCAGGCAGACCATGGGTCAGGAGTTCAATACCAACCTGGCTAACATTGTGAACGCCACATCTACTAAAAAGATAAAAATTAGCCAGGTGTGGTGGTGCTCATCTGTAATTCCAGCTATTCATGAGGCTGAGGTAGGAGAATTGCTTGAACCCATGAGGTGGAGGTGGCAGTGAGCTGAGATCGTGCCACTGCACTCCAGCCTGGACGACAGTCCAAGACTCCGTCTCATATATATATATATATATATATATATATATATATATATATATATGAGTGTGTGTGATTTGTAGAGTACTGGAAAAAACTACTCTAGCTACAAGTCATTTCACTGTTACCAGAAGGTTGGACCTACTAGAGATTTGAATTAGATTTCCAGCAGTGCTGGGAGGAGACTGGGAATTGAGTGCTGAATAACCCTTCAAGATATGAGCAGAATGGTAAATATTTAAATGAACCAATGAATAAAACATCCTGAGGTCCCATGAGTTTGTGAAAACTTGAGTTTGGCTTAGAGTTAATCTTTGATGAAATTCTCTATAATCAACCATCACCTTAGAGCTCTTCTAAAGCTCCTTTTACTTGTGTATATAATAACATTGACGAAGTTAACTTGAAGTAATGCTGGGGTATAGGCCTCAAGGATTTCTGAATTTGTCTAAGTGTGTAACGTTGTGCCAAACAAGTCAGCTCAAGAAAAATATTTGAAATGTATAGAAAACATTTCAAGAAACACCTTCATATTTACAGATATTTAAAGTACAGTTTTAATGGAAGATTTTAAACAGATGAAGTGACTAAACAACAAACTTCTAAAGAGAATATAAAAGAATTAATATACTTATTGAAAATTATTATATCAACAAATTTTCCAAGGTTTCACATGATTCCAAGGAGTAAAATCCCAATAGTAATCAAATTTATCACCTTGGAAAATCTAGAAAGGTAATCTCACACTTATGATGCAACAAGCTGATTCAAGAGCAGAATATTTGAGATGGTTTTTAAAAAGAAATACCATCAAGAAGTACTTCTACACTGCATGATGTATTCTTTTCTTTTTTTTTAGTGGATCTTAAGATGATAATGATTTATTATCGTTTGTAATAACAATGATAAGACATATGAAATTTTTAAATAGAACTCTTTTGATGAATTGACAAGTGGAATGAACAAGAAAGAAAACCTAAATTAAAAATAGGACTGATTTTTGGACAACAGCTTGTAGTTTTCAAGGGTCAGAACTATCTTAAAGACAAAAATAAGAGATTTAATACATCTAACTTACAAAGGAAAATGGAATCTAAATAAAAAAAAAACACTATCTGTAAAAAACTAAATAAATGGGAAGTTAGAATATATGAAGATGTAAAGATGTAGTCTCTAAGATTTTTATTTTACTAATAGAGAATATAATATTTTGAATAAACAGAAGTGAATAATTATGTTGCTGAGGTGACTGAAGTGTTTATCTGAAAAGATGAATCTTGGATGTCACCTACCTAAATATGATACACACGCCTGAATGCAGGGAAGATAGGACCCTGGGAAATAAGACAAGATTAAAGAAGGAGGTTAAAGACTATCTTCAGATATATAATATGAAGAAATAAAATTTCAAGTGGTCTACTCATCTAAGATAAAAAAATAAGATTAGAATAAAATTAGGAGTTTTTGGCTTGAGGGGGACTAAGAAATTAATATAGGAAATGAAGAAGATCACTATGACTCCTAGCACCAATAAAGTCACTAAGTGAAAGGAAGAATATATATCTTGATGAAATGATCAGTACCTGAGCACCTTTTAAATTATAAGTTCAATTTAATTCTCTACACAAAGTCATCAGTAAGGTAACTTATTTGATGTCACAAGAAAATGTATACCCTTCTTTTAACAGCTGTAAGAAATATATTTTAAAACTAGAGATTTTGATAAACAGACTTAAATATATGACCAGTCAATATAAAATAATATTTTCCTTTAATATATTTCAAATTAATCTAGTTATTCACATCACTATATTCCAAGTTAATTACATTCTTGAGAATAAATTAAAAAGAAAGAAACTAAATAGCAGTGTTATATAGTGATTAACCTTAAACCCATATTGTCCATTTATGGCAGTTTTTACAGAACTTACATGCCTTACTACCTTACATAAATTTAGATAACAGTGTTAAACAAAATAATAATTTTACATATTTTATTTATCCTTATAATAGATACTTCATTATTAAAATCATATTACCTCAGTCTTTGTGTAATCAACAATTATTCTATGGCTGCCGAGATCATTAAATGCAAGATACTTCTGTCAATAAATCCTATTGGTAAGGACAATTCCCTTTCTTGGAACACAGAGTAAATTTTCATATGGAAATATTTAAAGAATACAGAAAATTAGTCATATGTTAGCAAATTGATCCTAGGTTTTGGAAGTGTTTGTAAGTAATTTATTCTTTATGATTTAAAAGTAATGTCAAAAAGTTAGAATACTCATGTTAAAAGAAATTTTCCCAAACTAAATATTAAAACTAAATTGAAAAAGATAAGAGTACGTGAGATATGTTGTCTGGATGAGTATATTCTAGCCAATAAAGACAAACTAATAATGAAACAAAATACTAGGAGTAGCTGTTTTAATATATTTTCTTCATATTTGGAGGTATATTCTCACTTACTATGCTTACTAATCCAGCAAAAGTGATGTACATAATTTAAAATCATGACTAGTTTTAAAATATGGATCCCAGCACCAAATTGAATTTTGACACTTCCTGTCCTAAGTTCTTTATACAAATAAGATGTAACTTACTTGAGTACAAATAATTGAGAGTACTAGCATCTGAATCTTTCCAAATCATAAGCCATAATTATTATACTGTTCGCTTCTAAGTGGCATAAAATATTAACAAAAACCTAACAGAAATAAGCTTAAAATAAAATAATAATTCTAGTTTGGGGTCAAGAAATAATCATATTGATCATAAAAATAAATTCATACAAATGCCTCCTTCCCAGATAAAACCATACTCTAAATTTCCCATTGCTGACTGTAGCAGCCTCTTAGTCTCCACAATGTTGCATCTAGTCATTTTTACTACAGTGAAATAAATTCTATTCATATCCCCACACATACAAAGAATGAGAGAGAGAGAGAGAGAGAGAGAGAGAGAGAGAGAGAGAGAGTAAAGATCAAGGAAAATAACTCGACCACAAACAAAACAATAGATTAAGTGAACTTCGTTTCTTCATTTCAAAAATCTAAATGCCACCCAGGGAACACTGAACCACAAACACATACATATACAAAAGTAATAATATACCCCAAAGTATTTTTTCTCCTAAATGTTTAAGTATCCAATATTACCCAGGTAAGTGTTTTAGATATTAAGATGTGATTTTTTTCCCAAGTACACAGGTTGCCTTAAGTATGTATTAGACAGTATACTTTCACTTCCAGAAAGACTATGAAATTGCTTTATACCTAAGACAATGCGGAACTCTATGATGCTTAGCAGACTATATAGCCACATAATTGCCCATTTTCAAGCTTCCAATGAGGCCTGACAGCTCTCCAGTTTATAGCAGCAGCAGATGACTAGGAAAAAAAAGTTTCTTATTTTCTAACTTCCTTTTGGAAAAGACTTCCTGAAAATTCAGGATTTTTTTTTAAAGCGGCTTATGAATAATGGAACACATTGCTACACTCAACCAAGTTGTATGTTCTGACAATATTTCTATCACGTGGAACAGGTTCAGAAGTTGCAAATCAACCAATGCATTTAATTCTTAAAGTAATCAGAAAAGTAATACATATGAAAAATTATTTCTAATTACCTCTATTGAGTGATGCTGAACTGTTTATATCTCCAGTAATAAAGGAAGACTCTGACTGCTTTCGAACCGTGTCATTCCACATTCTACGGATTCGGCTCTGGGTGGGGGAAAAGGCAGGAAGAAAATGAACTCATGAGGCAGTGAATTTTCTCGCAAATCGTTCTTTTCTTTTCTGTCACAGTTACATGAGATCTTTGTTTCGAGCATTTGGCAAATAAACAACTACATGTTTGCAGTGCAGTAGCATGAGAACATCAGAAATAACGTTCATGATAATACATGGTTCTCATTAACTGTATTTCTAAATGCCTATCTACCAAAGATAATTATAACTATAAAAGAAGAAATATGCGTAAAGTACTATACCAATTTAAATTTGTTGAAGATATACAGAAGTATATAGCTTCGGACAGTTAGAATTAGAAAATTTTAATTTCCAAGGGAAAACAAATTATTTTTACTCTAACTTTTATTGGAATGAGAATGTTTAAATAAGTATTAAATTGCCAGTTCTAACAAACAATTTAGTTTAAGAAATCAGAACCTTGCAAAAGAATTTGTTAAGAAAAGAAAATAGAACATTATTAAAATGCTACCGAACTTACATTTTCCATAACTTTTATAAGAAGATCAATGTAATTTTAGAGATTATATAACTATCCTGACTTTTCTTTCTTTGAAGAAGATAAAGTTAGTTGATTCATGCTTCAGTAGGAAGTTTTATAGATAACTAAAAATTCTTACATTATTATTGATATTCCTACATTCAAATTTCTAAGTGTCAGATAATTCAAGAAAATAAATATTACAAACTTTTTCCATTTGGGGGGATTTTTTTCTATTTTATTCTTTTATACCATTTTATTGAGTTATGGATCAAAAAAGGATTAACCATCTTGCGAGGAAGAAACAAAATATTTTCAGAAGTTTTTCCAAGGGCGAAATAGTTATAAGAAATATTACTACTACTTATGAAGCCATGCTTACAATGGGTTATGTTCCAAATACATTTGAACTCCTTGAATTATGGGAGTATCCCAGCTTAGAATATTAGACAACTGATTTTGTAAATCTTGGAACATGTTTATTCTTCAGAAATATTGTTGCATATCACATTCTCTAGGTTGACAAATGCATGCATGTACATACACACAGACACACACACAGACACACACACAGACACACACACAACATTTAAAAAAGGACAATGTTAGGAGGAAGTCTCTCACATTAGTTTTATTAGTTGGTTAATTAATTAATTAATTAAAAACATTAATTATTCTCTACTGCCTGCCAGATACTAACCTATAAGATACAAAGGTGAAATGCAAGCACAAAATGTCTTGACCTTCATGGAGCTGCTAAACTAGTAACATATTAATCAGATTATTACAAAAATAAATGCAAAAGTACAATATGCCCACAAATCTACATACAGTCATTAAATATTATAGCCAAAATATAGAGAACCAAAATGACTATTGATGGTACAATGGATAAATAAACTATAGAATAATACAAAGCAAAGAAAATTAAAAAGCTTATAGCCCCCTGCAGTAACATAGATGTTTGGGGAACAAAGGAACACATAAAAGAGTACTGAATTATTTCAGGTGAGTAAGTATCAAAATATGCAAACTAAAATGTGCTACTAAAAGCTAAGACAATGGTCATGTTTGGAGTTTAATGACTGAAAGGGGTTCAAAGGGTTTCCAAGGTATTCTCAGTGTACTAATACTTGGCCTGGGAAGTGGTAAGAATTCATTGTGCCATACACTTATGTTTTATGCACTTTTGTGACTTCATTATACCAGAGAATTTTTTAAGATTTTACCAATTATGCCACATATTTTTACCATTTATTAAGGGATATGTCCTCGTCTAGGGAGTCTGAGAACAATGTAGACTAAAGAAGTAATATTTTAACTGGGAGTTATGAAGTTATTATTGTTAGGTGATATTTAAATGAGCTGTCCCCATTATCTCACCTCTTATTACTCTCCCTACCTGCTCTAGCGACACCTGTCCCCTTGCTCTTCTCTAATATGCTGGGCATGTTTGTGCCTCAGTGCTTGGTAACCTTGGTTGTCTTCTGTGCCTGGGGTGCTCTTCACCCAGATACAGACATGCGTAATTCCTTTATCCTTTTAACTCTAAAATATGTTTTCTGAAGTTATAACTTGACCACCCTACTTAGAACTGTAGATTACCCACAAAATCTAATCACGTGTCAGTCCTATTCCCCTACTATTTCCCCGCAACAGTCACTAACATCTCCTACAATTCCATGTATTATATAAGTATTTCTTACATTTATATTTAATGGCTATCCATTTAATGTCTAATATTTAATGTCTAATGTCTCCATTAGGCTTGAGGCTCTATGAAAATATAATTTTTGTCTTCTTTGCTCATTGAGGTGTCATACTTGGCAGTATATCATACACATACTACATATATATCATACATATACTACATAGTGTATGTATATTATATGTGTGTGTATGTAGCTATATCAATTAATTATTTCTATGTTCTCTTTTACCTACTATATACTTTTCATGTATTCACTCATCAAAACTTCACAAGAATCAAATAAGGCAGGCCAATCCTACACATTAGAAAACTGGAGCACGGTGGTCAATGAACATGCACAATGGCATAGACCTAGTAAGTGGCATAACCAGTACTGGAATGAGGTCATCTGGCTCCTGAGTACAGGCAGTTTGGAAAAGAGGAAAATACATACATATAAAATAAATATAGGTATATATATATATAGGCATATATATATAATAAATAAAGGTATGCATATATAAAGATATATACATACATATTACATAATATAATATAGGCCACACTTAGATGTTTATGGAATGAACCAGGATGGGTTTTTGAATATGGGAGTGAAAAATAAAAAAGTCAGAGAAGACTATATACAATAAAGTATCATTTATAAAGAAAGATTCAAAAAAGGAACGCTGAACATTTTTTGGAGGGAAAGAAACTATTAGAATACGTTGTGTGAATGACAGAACAAAATTTAGGAGCCTCTCTGGAGGAAGGCATAGGGATTGATTAGGGAGAGATTAAATAAAGAGAAAAACATATTGAAAATGTTCTATTTCCTAAGTTGGATGTTGAGTTCCCAGGTGTTCATCTTGTTAAAATGTTTCAATATTTCACGTACATATGTCACATAATTTTTTTATTTTTCAAATATTCTGTAATAAAAAGCAAAATATCTAAAAATAAATAAAATGCATGAAAGATAAATGACAGAACAATTAAAAGAAAGTCAAAAGATACTCTTTCAGTCCATAGTTTCAAAAATTTTTACACCCATTTCTGTGAATATATGTTTGTGTGAATGATGCGCATTATAAAACTTTTATGAGTGATTAGGACTAGGAAGTAAGTCTGGAGGAGCAAGAGGTGAAGAGGATTTTTACTTTTTAGTCTTGGCAATCATCCCCTCCATTATCCACAATGTAGCAGCATAAACTTTATTACATGTGGATTATATCCTCTCACTTTCATTCCCAATTTATCTTACTGGCTTTCCAAAGTAATCAAAATAAAATTAATTTTCATATTGTTACCAATACTTAGGGATCTGTCTCTTCCCTTTTTCTTTGACCTTCTGTCTCACTTTCCCTCTAACCTACTTTGGCAAACATTTTTTGTAAGTTCTTCACACCATAAAGCCTTTGCATTAGCAGTATTTTCACTTAGAAAACGGTTCCCCTGAATTTACTTTTCTACTTTCATTTAGAATCTTGTAACTCGGACCTGGGCATAAGTATCACTTTCAAAGGTAGTCTTTCTCCAGCACTTAATCTAAGTAGCCACCTGGCTAACTGACATCACCATATTTTTGTTATCTTCCAGCTTTCCCAATTTGATATTTTTGTTGGGTTTTTGTTACTAATAAATTTTCTGTCTCCCAATACTAGAATAAATATTCCAGATCATAGGGGTAGTTATATGTCTTTTAATCATTTTATGCCCAGAGCTCAGAAGATTGCTGGCATTATACAGGAAGCACTCAGTATTTCTAAATTAAAGAGTATAATACATAGTAATAGTTATTTTAGAAGTTCTCCTATGTGAAAGATGCATCCATACTCCCCAAATTTTGTCTTGATATCAGTGAATATTTTAGCATTTGCTGATGGGCGGCCATAATTAATGAGAAATATATTCATTAGTTTTATTTAAACAAACAATATAGATTTAAGTATCTTGTAATCTTATGGAGTATTGGGTGGTCACAGTTAATCAGAATTAGTATTATATTAAGCATAAGAAAAAAATTTAAATTATTTTCGAAGAGTAGAATTGTGATATTACAAATTACAAGAGTGAGGGCAAAAATATGGTACAGCTTAAAAACATATATAATATTCTATAATAAAAACAGTAACAAATGGTAGCAACCACCATTTATTGAGCACCTACAATTTATTCTAAGTGTTTTGTGTATATGAGTTTAATCTTTTTAGTAACTTAAGATGTCATTATTTATTATCAGTATTTAACAGATGAAAAAACTGAGCGTCAATGAAATTAATAACTTTTTTCTGTGTCATAGATGATACATGGCAAAACCAGGATTCAAAACAATGTATACCTAACCACAGAGTTTATTATTATTTCATTGAGCTGCACTGCCTTAACTTGTAGTTTAGAAGTATTGCTAAACATTGCACAACTCTGTTGTAATGTAGTAAATGAGATTCCTAAATACTATTTTAATATTAATGATATATGTCAATAAAATGATATATGCTGATAAAATAAAAGAATGGTGGTTGATGAGCTCAGTAATGTGAAAAGCATGCAGGAGCTAATCAGGCTGGATGATACAGAGAATCTCAGCAATATCAATTGAAAAGTTGTGGAAAAAGTTATTACAAAAAGCAGGAAAGGGAAAAGGATTATGAGTCTGAAAATAAAGGCATTAATTATAAAAGGGGTTCATGCTATAAGCATCATCCTGGTCTTCCCCTACTCTTATGTGAGAATTCAGATCTCTGATTGGCAAATTTCATAGTCCAAAACTCAGAAATTTCCACCCATCTGAGTTGGGACAATTATTCCTCTGATTTGCAACTTTACAACCTCAGTGTGGTATGCAAATAATACATGAAATTCAGATTACTAATAATTGTGCAATTATATTGAAAGTTCATGATTTGTGGCTGGTAAATTATTTAAGATAGTCTGATATTTTTTACAATAATATGTTAATTTTTAAAAATTTAATGGTAAGTATTAGATTGATACTAAAAATTTGGTTTTATTTGTAAGATAAAAAACTCAGTTGGTGAGGACACTGTTTATGAAATCACCAGTCATTCATTGATTTATAACAGTGCTTCAAGTGCTAGTTAGGTGTGTATGACTGTATAGTCTGACAGTTGATGTGTTTGAAACAATCAGATACATTAAATTTATAAATGATATTTAAAGGGTATAAGGAAATTAAATTTTCTAAGCATGTAAATGAAATTATTTACAGAAATTTAATCTATTAAGCTTACAAACCAATTGAACATCCATCAAATAATAACTGAAGCAATAACTCTTATTTTATATAAAATAACCAAATTTATGAAACAATAATTAGATTTATAGGTTGAGCTAAAAGAATTAAGAAAAATTAATTCTTGATCTATAACTGTATTTATCAATTTAAACTTGAGTTTCCTCAGAAAAATTTAATTGGCAACACTGAAAACATGACTTTTTATTTTTTTTATTTTTTTATTCTACTGAATCATGCAATCTTAAAAGTACTAGTCTGCATGACTCACACCTATAATCCCAGCACTTTGGGAGGCCAAGGCAGGCGGATCACTTGAGGCCAGGAGTTTGAGACCAGTCTGGCCAACATGATGAAACCCCATCTCTATAAAAAAACACAAAAAATATTGGGGTGTGGTAACATACGTTTCTGATCTTAGCTGCTCGAGAGAATGGAGTCTGAGGTGGGAGGATTGCTTGAACCCAGGAGGCAGAGGTTTCAGTGATCTGAGATTGCACCACTGCACTCCAGCCTGGGCAACAGAGTGAGACTCTATCTTAAAAACCAACCAAACAAAAAATACTAGTTTGCTAGATTGAAATCAAACTCACTTATCATCTACACAGTCCTATGTCTTTTACTCGACTGGCTCATTTTAACATTCAGGAGTTGCTAAGATTTCTATGTAATAACCTTTGAGCTGAAACTGTGCCCTGGGAAAAATGGCACACAGTTTAGCTAAAAGCTTAAAACTTTTCGGGTAAGGTACTATGCTGCTATGCGTAGTGCTGGACGAATGGGAGTGGAACTTAGATCAGCTACAGCAATAATACTGTTGTAGTGTTCTTCACTGCCCTGACTTTTTTTCAACTTATCAGCATGAAATAAGATTGAGTCATAGTTATGTTTACTAAGCATACTATATTATATGCAAATTGTCTCAGTTTGTGACTAAGAATTATACTAGTTAGAATTAGAATTAGAACCGTGTCAAGATATCACATTTCTATGTATATGAAATATTACTTTCTTTGAATTTTGTGTGAAATGGCAAATTTCTTTCTTACCTGCTGCATTTATTGAACTAAAAACAATCTGAAGTCATTAATTATTATGCAAACTTAGACCCTAAATTTCATTATGTTATTACAGTTTTGGTTTCTTCTCTGTCAGAATCATTCTCATGTGGGACACAGTGAAACAACAAAAGCAAATGATGGTGATACACAGGATAGAAATTAGCACCAATCATAAGGGACAGTAACTGGTAACAGAAATACAGTTAAAAACCACTTCATTTCAGTGAATAACTATTGTTTACCTGTGAGCCTGTGGAATAGCGTCCAGGAGTTCGAGAACCAGATGTTTTCCCTGAACCAATGGAACTCTCTGTACTTTTGCCACTACAGCAATGTGTTCGCAGGCATTTCCCATACTCTTTTCGTACCTAGCCAATTAAATATTAACTTCTGTTAGCCAGTAATTCATTGCAGGTAGGAACAAAAGTAGAAAATGTATGTGAGTTTTATTTTTAGATAACATAATTATTTCCTTGCCCTGCAGATACAAGAAAGTCTGTCCAACATATATTTTAGAATTAAAAAATTATATTCATACTGTCAAGCTTGAAATGTTGCCCTACTGGAGCCTTTTAAAACACACACACACACACACACACACACACACCCCTTTCATCACATCATAGTGGTACTTTCTCTTAGTTCAAAGAACATATACTTAAGCCCATTCAAGATAATATTTTTAGCTCATAAATTTGACATAAAGTAGCCTGTTGGTGTAAGGGCATTGTAGCTGTTGTTCTTTAGGTGAAACTCTAATGAGGAAGTCAAAGAGAGTGGGGTGGAGGAGGTAGGGTAAAAAGTGGGGGAGGGAGACAGAGAGAGAGAGATCAGAGAGAGAAAGCCGAGAGAGGATAAAGACAAAATATGAATATGTTGGGTGAATCATTTCTGCTAAATCTGTATTTCTCTGAAGTTTCTTTTAAAAGAGATCAAATTTTCAACTTGAGAACAAAAATTCAAAAGATTTTAAATTTAGTCCTTCAAAATAGTTCTACTCAATAATCACAGAGAAACATAATTACTTTTCTTTATAGCATTCTTGATTAAATACTTAATCCTGGTTGCAATATAAAATTACAGGGAAAAAGAAGACTTTTAGCTGATGTTTTTAAGCAGAGAATTATATCAACTTTTGGTAAAATTTTTATCATGTTTAAAATTTTTATTTCTGTCTTTTTAATTAAACAAGGCATATAAAAATAAACAGTAACTGCCTTAAATCACATCTCTACTATCAGTAACAACAAAAGGACACCTTATTATATTGATTATATGTTCACAAATTTATATTATGAAACAGTATCATATATAAATTATTCTTAGGCCTTTACATATTTGATTTCACATTAGAGTTCATTATTTCCACAACTTATAATAATATGATATTCCAATAAGATTTTATTTAAATCAAAGTTATGAACATGTGCTTTAAAAATAATGTTATTTAGAATCAAAAGCAAGAAAGATATGTAAATTATACGTTAAATTTAGTATTCAAAATGGGAACATTTCATCTTATGGTAAAATTCATCCTGTCAAAGACACAGCAGAATCAAAGACAGAACAAATGCAGATTTGCTCAAGGAACTCTTTTTGATTGAGTGATTGTTATGTGATGAGAACAATGATGGAGATGGAGTCAGGTGACTCAAGTATAGAAGAGGAGGTAGGTGTGGGGGCCAAGAAAGGCTTCTTGGGGAAGAAGTCTTCCCAGATAGTCTTCAAAAGAGCCACCGGAATTAATCTACAGAGTGAAGTTGAAATAAAGGATAGGGTAGAAGAGGAGGAAAAGGCATTCTTGCCATAGAGAATAGAAGGAGCAAAACGGGGTTATGATGCGCTGGCTTTTAAGGCCTTTTTCTGCTCAGACATGGCAAAATTACTTATTTTTAATGTATTTAAAATGCTATCGATTTGTTTTACAACCAGTCTTTTCTGTGCTACATTTATCAATAATTAAAAAGAGAGATCATTATTTTTGTTCAGTGTTTACAAGTCAGTGCATATTTTATTTATCTTAAAAAGAGAAATCAGTCTGTACCCAGTCACGTGTGTTTCTAGGATACGTCTGTTGGGAGGGTGGGAAGAACTTCTACTTTTTAACTATTATATGTCAGGAACTGTGCTACGTACCTCCCTCAAAATAACTCTGAAAAATAATTATTACCTTCATTTTATAGATAAGGACATTGAAATGGGTTAAGCAATAAGAGTAAACTGTAAGACTGAAAGGGTTCAGCAATGTGCCTTAGGGGAAAAAAATCTACATTTCATGGTTGCTCTATGATCAAAAAGCTTTAAGATGCCACATTTGGAACATGGATCTTTGACCAGCACAGGCACTGTATATTACTAATATTATTAGTAAAGTGATCTAATAATTATCTCCTTCTTTGTAAATGGAAATAATTAGGGCAAATGCTTTAATTATAACTTGAGAAGGCTTAAAATAATCTCTAACCAAAAGTAAGCAGTATCAATGATAGTTTAGTAATTTCTACTGATTTATGAAGCATCTCTGAGAATCTAAACTTTGATCATAACTCCCCCCTCTGCAACATCCCATTTTGTTTTTCCTAAGGTACTCAGCAAAAGACATGTTTCTTTCTAGATGAGAAAGTGTATTTGAATGAAATGATGTAGATCTAAAGAAATATTTCAGTACAAAGAGAAAGAAAGGCAAAGAAAAGAGAAAGAGAACCACCCTCCCTCCTGCTACAAATGCAGCAATATTGTATAAGCCACAGTAATTCATCATGGACTATTTGAATTTTCCAACAAAGATTAAATGTTCTCAACCGATTATATAAACAACCAGAAAATCAAGATATTTGGTGATGCCAAGACTTGCATTAGCTACATTACTTACTGAGTCATTATACTGACTTTATTTTGCTGTGATTTGATTTGAAATGTTAAGCATATGTCTTAAAAAGAAGAAAAAAAATAACATGGACCATGTCCAGGAAACATTTTTCAGATTACAATAAAACAGTTATTTGATTGTTCAATCTTTTGCATATTCAAATCTACTATTTCACATGATACTGCATCTTAGTTATCCAAGTCAGATGATATCCTATTTTGGTGTCATGCTGTTCTAGAATATAGAAGACAGCAAAGAGAATATAGTTTACCAATGGAACATTTCTTCTATACTATCATATCAGAAATCAAATGATCATGGAAACTCCGAGAGTATATAAAATATTTGAGTGTATGACAAAAATAAAAGTAAGCACTTTAATGTGACCAGTGGAAATACTGTTTATACAATCCACACTCAGAAAATGACCGATGGCTCAAAAATTTTAATTTTATGAGTAAGTTTGAATATTCAATAAGACAAAACTTTCAAATATGAAATATTTCATATTTCTCTAATCAACATATATAAACTATAACAGCAATGTCATATTAGTGAAATTTAATCAGATGGCTTAAAAGAAAAAAAAATCCCAATAATTTCTTCAATGTCAAAGACAAGTACATCGCATTTTTTAATATAAAATAAAAATGAAAAATAATTACGTATTTTCTGATATTGGGCCGTATTCTTGACACGAAATACAAATGCAACCAAAGTTTTAAAATTCAAAAAATGGAATAGATGAAGGAGCAATATGCATATTACTTGTTATTGTAAATCATGAAAGTAAGCTTCCAAAATCAGGGCCTGGGAAGTTTTTCTGTAATGTCCAGATAGTCAACATTTTAGTTTTTTTGAGTCAGGAGTCAACACCAAGGATATGGTGTATATACTTATTTTAAACTTAAGTACTTGAAAATGTAGTAACCATTCCTGGCTTCCTGGCTGTAAAAATAAAAGGCAGCTGGATGAATTTGGCTCACAAGCCAGTTTCCGGAACTCTGTTTTAATGAATCATGAAACTGAACTTGATGACATATATATTTCAAAATTTAACTTAAGTTAAATATACTAAAAGATCTAAAGTTGTTTTGGGGTCTTGAAATGTAGAATCTCTACCTGAATATCAATGCAATTCTTATTTATACTAGTGATATGTTTATGTTAAAGCAAGAAAAACAAAAATAATATTTTAATTAACATTGGGAAAACTGAAAGAGGTGTTGGCTAGTAAAAATACTCAAAACCAAAAATGATTTGTGTATAAAGTACAAAAATTTCTTTTCTGCTTTGTAGAAAATTTCCAAATTAACTTTAAAATTTTAAAATTACTTCTTAAGGAGTTAGTAAACAAATTGAAATCAAATTTAAAAACCATGTTGGTCCAAATTTCAAGCTAATGTACAGAATACAAATGACAGGTGAATAAATCTGTTATACTTCAATATGACACGCCTGATTATAATGACCTAATATATTCCACCCACCCCCTTTTTTTTTTTTTTTTTTATGGGCAAATGCTACCTTTTCCCTTAATCTCCTGATTTTGCTCACTTTTTTTTTTTTTTGTATATATTTCTCCTGAGCATCAGTTATGGCTTTCTTCTATCCAAATCTAGACATTTTTTCCAAGTTTTAGTCTCTCTCACTTCTATGAAGTCTTTTAGAATGTCAACCACTGTCTTTTTCTTGACATTTTCTCCTATCTTTAATTCAGTGTATCATCTTGATTCTCATTCATCCTTCCAACTCTATTCTCACTTACCATTTACATGTCTCCTATTCTTTAAATACATTATGAGTGGCAGTCTGCCATCTATTCACCATATGCAATGTCTTCTCTTTCTGAGTATAAAGCTATACTATGTTTTTCTGTCTCCCTTGCAGTTTAGGTGGTACCAGTGATAGAGTCCTATCTGATTTAAAAAAAAAAAAAAAAAAAATGAGCAGATGCCGTGTAAGCCACTTTCAAATTTTTTAACACAAAATCCTCTTTCTCTTTTCCAGACTTGCTGTTGGATGTCAAAACCCAAGAGGACTATAAAATCATAGACTGAGGTTGTTTGAATCTTTATCAACCTATTACCCTTCATGGGGCAACCCCATTCATTGGGCAATGAGTAAAACGTAATCATATATTGAGTTAGGTTTCTATAATTTGGGAGTTGTACATATTAATTATTTGGGAGGGTTCATCTATTTTAAAACAACCTCTTTTAAGGGGAATTCTAATAAATTAGATTAGAATCCATCCATTCTAATGTAACCTCTCTTCTTTTCTGTAACCTACATTTAGAAGCCTGACTCATCATTACTACTCTATTCTGTGTTTATAATCATGTCAACACATTTTAGGCATCCATCACCACCTAACACTGAAGCAGAGTGGTGTTTTGTTTTATGTTTGTCCATCTTGACAAGTGGACACTCTTTTCAATTTCTTATTTTGGTCCTACCAGTCTCTAAAACTAAAAAATCCTAGAAAGAGATGTCTTTACTTTCTGTTTCCTTTGTTTTCCAAGAAAAACTATAAATCTTATTGTTTCTTTCCCATAAGTTTAAAAAATAATTTTCTGCCTCACTTTCAAAGCTATCTTTTTGAATATTTTATAATTATTTTTATCCCCTCCATGTCACAAATGAGTAAACTGAGACATGGGGAGGTTAATTAACTTGCCAAAAAGTCACGTAAGTTTTTAAATGGAAGAACAGAGAGATTCAAACTTAGGCAATCTGGTTGAGGGTTTTCGTGACGGGATCAATCAAGACAACATTTTAAATAAAGTTAAAGTGCGTAAGACTGGAAAATGAATCTTGGGATTTTAAAAAATGTAATAAAAATATTTAGTATTTAAAATTAACTTTGAAATGTATATATTTAATGTCCTTACAAAGGTAAACATTTGCAAAAATAGGTAAGTGTAAAAAACTGCATTCTAACCATTCAACTCTTAGATTTCATAATAAATGCTCTTAAAAGAATGAAATATAGAGATCATTATTAGGTATTTCATTATTTATTCAAAAAATATAACTGTGTATTATTTTACCGTAAGCTGTGTAGATATTTATATTTTCAAATGTAAACTAGTGTTTGAAGAAACAGAAATATATACACATATACACCTACATATTTCCTATACCATGATATATATCCATGATACATGTGTGTGTGTATGTGCATGTGTGTATGTGTGTCTGTGTGTGTGTGTGTGTGTGTGTGTGTGTGTGTGTATGTATCTCATGGCTCCATGATATTTTTAGAAATAATTACTTCCTAATACACAAATTCCATTTGTCCACCAATGGGAATATTAAAGACTTTAAAGTCAAATCTACAAGAAGATAATTTTTGTTTATTGCTCAAATCAGAAAATGTTTTTATTGTTTCTACTGTTGGACACTCTCAGCAACTATTATACTTGTATTTTGTGCTTGTTTTGTTTTACTATTATAAAAGATGAGTATCTTTATTTCTTGTAGACAAACATATCAAGAATAATATATTAGAATATGTTATGAGTACTTTGCTATCATGAGATCTATGCCATTTATATTTTTAAAAAATATTCTAGCTTACCTTCTTCTGTAGGACACAATGGAAAATAAATATAAACATTCCCTGTAGAGAATTGAAAATGGTGAAGAGATACGCCATGATGACTGTGCTTTCATTAATATACATGAGTCCAAAGGCCCAGGTCAATCCTAATAGGCAGAGAAGAGCTATTGCACCTATAACCCATGACCTGTAGAGAGAAGAAAAAAATTAATGGTTATCAAACAATTGGTCTTTAATTAACCACCATATCAAATCAACAATGCAACACTGAAAAAAAATGTTACAGTAACTTTTATTGACAGAAAATGTAAGACAGGTGGTGTAAGTACTTTAAGATTTTAATGAGACTACAAGTTTTCAAGCTTGAGGAGATATACATGAATGAAAATGTTATGAACACAGAAATTCATTTAAGCAAAAGCAGATTTATACCATAAGTTATTCATGTATTTGCAGCGCATATGCAAATGGCATGAGGTGTAATTATGGTGAATGGCAAGAGGAAAGCAGGCTACAAAGCTACGCTAGTCTTCACTGGCCTCACAGTGGCAACATTTGTTTTATTTCCCTCTATTAGTGATTCTTCTGATACGCTTTTACCTCATTTTTAAAAATTTCCTCTTTTTCCACAAAAATTTTAGTGTTTATTGACAAAAATATCAGTCATTAGAAGGAAATACAGGCATTTGAAGTAAATGTATAAATTTAATAAGCCCTATTTGTCTAATTCTATAGTTACAGAGAGTAAGCGTCAGGGATAGTAGACGGAAAAACGTAGCTCCACTCTAGTGGAAGCACTGTTTTTACTCTTCTTCAGTTTTTGGATTACTGTCTTCTATGCTATGTTGCAGTGGATTTTAGAAATGTCATATGGCATCTTTGTTAAAAAAAATTTTTTTGAAGGCTAAAGGAAACTTCACTTCTTTGACGTGTCTGAAAATTCAAGGGAGAAGATGAAGCTGAGAATGAAGATGGAGTGGTATGAACGGAGTAGCATAGAATGAAAGACAAGTTCGCACTCCCACTCCATTCTGTTGGTTTCCTCCAAGCTGTCATTTGCAAAAGTATAAGCAGGTATCAAAATTCATGTATTTGTGATTAAGCTAGGTATTGAATAACAAGAGAAAATGAATTCTTGCAACCACTGGGACTCATAATTGAAATGAAATCCTTCTCAACTCCTAAGTATATGGGAGAACAGGACCAAATCAGTAGAGATCTCTATACACTAATAAACCCAACCTCTTTATTCCCAGCACATCTTCCTTGAATAGGGTATATTCATATTTCTTTTCAGCAGATTATTATCCTACTCTTATATTGTCTCAGGAAGATATATTTACAGAGATTGAAGCTTTGTAAAATGAAGGGGAAAACCATATATGTTTATCATAATCTGAAGCTGAGTTCAATTTGTTATTTAGAGAGAATTGCATCTTAAGAAAGATATGGTCCCAAAGTAGTTAATTATTAAAGTCTTACTAAAATTAATATTTACTATTTTTCTCCCATAACAATCAGCCACTATATTTCATGTTTAAATGCCCACTAAATTTAACATGTTTAATTGAAAACATCAACATTCTTGAATAAATAATCTCTAAAGAAGTTCCCCTATTACATGTTACACATTTGCTTATATGAATTAGAAAACATTTTAGGTGTTAATATTTTATTCTACAGTTGGATTCAGAAGTACACTAACTTTTAAGGAAAAGCTCTCAGCTTCTTACAGACCAAGTTGGAAAAAAAATTAAAAATTGCCATTAAGTCAAGGCAATATTGCTATTTAGATTTAGAAACAAAATAATAGGATCAAATAGTGAAGTCAGGTATTATCCTCTGGAAAACATATGATGGGCCCAAGGGTTGAATGGTAGAAAACTGCAATGAGCCCCAATTTCTTAAAAATAAAAAAATTAAAAAAATTAAAAAGCAAAAGCATGAAGAAGTGAAATGGCACTGGAGAAAAATGAAAACAAAGGACTCTTCACCAGAAGAACAAACTGAAAGTCTCAGCAAGGTTGCCCATCAGTTGCCAATCTTAGTTTATTCTTGCAGGACTTGTAATTTTAAAATAAGCATGGGGAAAATGTCCAAATGTTAACATTTATGTTTATAGTTATTAGATTAGTACAGACTTGTAGCTTTATTTCAGAAACTGAAATATATTCATATAGATTAGATCATTAATCAAGTGACAGTTGTCAAATTTGAAATTTTGCATATGTAAAAATTAATTTTGAAGAAGGCATTTTTTTTCTATTTTTATATTTAGTATAGCAATTCATTAATATCAATTGCAATTGGGTAGTTTTATACCCGTAAGATCATTTTGAAGATATACCCGTAAATGAGAAAATAATTTTAGATGAATGATGCCCAAACAAACAACAAAAAAGCGGACATATATGGCACAGAGGAACACATCACAATGAAAGAGGGAAGCTATTAAAAGCGAAACAAGTCTGTACCACAGAAAATTGCTATTGCTGTGGCACTGAATTCAGGTGATATCCAATTAACAGAGGTGAAGCAGAAATTTTTTTTTTGGCAATACACCTGCAGCATATTTACTCTGCATGTAAGTTATATGCCAGATTATTTTCCTGCACAGTTTGCTCTTCTGCCTCAATGTGAATGACAGAAGCTCTAATGATTTTTCAGTACTGATCTGACAGCTGGTTCATGGGACCACACTGATAAATGGAATTTATCAGCCATTCAGGTCATTCTTACTTGATGAAGGGTCTGTTATCCTCATAGCTAAAGAATGCATAGACATAAAGACAAGAACACCAACATTAGCATTTTATGACAAAGAATTTCATATGAAAAATATTCTCCTGGTCCCCAAAGGTCTCTGTCCCCCACCTCCCTGAAAGAAATCATAATCCTTTATATCCAGAAGGTAAATCCTAAAATGACCATGAGAACTTAAATAACAAGAAATAAAAGCAATTTTATAATACTGCAATATCCCTTATAAGACTCAAAATTCCATTTTTTTTATTATGTGCTCATATTACTTGTGACTTGACAGAGACATTTATTTCTTAGAGATCACATTTCTCTAGAGAATGAGAAATTTTATGAGCAATCTTGAAAAGGCTTGGGGGTATGCTTAAAATGACAGATTTCATGTCACCGAAAGGTATTCTTATTCTGTAATATTAGTAGGTAAGATTACTTAATTATGGACAGTATGCTTCTAAGTAATTTTAAGTTGGAGATGGTTGACCTGAGTTAAATCTTAACATCACAGCGCTTTGAAAATAATCTATCTTGAGTACTTTAAAACTCTTTCTGTTTGTGTTCTGAGACAGAAAAACCTGAATAATCTTTTGTAGTCATAGGAACAAACATACAGCACCTGCTTATTGTCACTTATGTTTACTAATATTTAATATCATTTGGATAAAATGAGGTCCTAATACTCAATTAGTGAAGATAAAGAATGTTTTGGATCAATTTTTAAAAACGTAGTTTCTGCTTAGAGAATTGTGATAAGAAAAAGAAAGAAGAGAAACTCTTCCTTTCTCTTCTTTCCAGAGGCAAGACAGTTTCCTATATTATGTATACACAAATAAAGCTCCTAGAAAGGCCCCAACTGTGATGTATTTTGAATAAAAGAGAACCACTGGTGAAAACTCACTCTCCAGAATGATGAAATAATACAGAATGGTATTTGAAGCCAGTTTGCCTGAGGTTTACATCCTAGCCCAACCACTTACTAGCTACCTATTTGATCTTAGGCAAAAATTAATTAACCTATGGTGTGTCCATTTATACATATATAAGCTGGTGAGAATTATAATGCAAGTTTCTTGTGATGATGAAACAATTTATTAGGAATAAAATGCTCAGAACTGTGTCTAATGCAAAATGTCTTCAATAAATATTATATGTGGTTATTATTATTAGACTATTTAAAGCTAGGATAAAACCACACTGAAAATACAAAATCTCTCACCCAGAGAATAAAAGCCCAAATACATAAATGTTGAGTAAGTAAATATTTAAGGATATTTCAGGAGCAGTATGATGCAGTAAAATATATGTGGCTGAAATAAGTTGGTAAACAAAGCAGAGAGTGACCAGAACTATGCGTCCAATGGGGAGATTACTAGTTATATGTGGCTATTTACATTAAATTCATTAAACAAAATTAAGTTTAAAATTCAATTCCTCAGTTACATCAGTCACATTACAATTTCTCAAAAGCTTCATATAGTTAGTAGCTACGACTAATGGTACATGTCCATCGTCACAGAAAGTTCTATTGGACAGTACTGGACTTAATTATGGACATTCAAAGACAGTTTTAAGGCAAGAAGTGGAAATCTAAGAGATAGTTACATAATTCCATGGATGTGTGAAAGATATAGAGAGAAGAATTTGTAAGAACTGATGGTATTTATCACTTGTAAAACAGGCCTAGAAAGAAAAATCCTGTAATTACATTACTATCAAAACGTTATAAAACATAATAATGTGACATTTGTTAAATGATATGCATTCCCATTGCATCAGTATACTCCATCTGTGATGTCCACTTCATGATTTGAATGATTCTACCTTAATTTGTATAGTACAATGTCAAGCAAAGAAAGTTATAGAGGTTGACAGATAGGCATACATGCAAAAATGCTCTACAAAATGGATTAAGCTTTGTATATGTTTTAAATAAATTTCATGATGTATATTTTGGGTATAAAATATGATGCTGTGGGATACACATAGATAGTAAAATGGTTACTATATTGAAGCAAATAGACATATCCATCTCACATAGTTACCAGTTTTATTTTTGTAGCAGGACAGCTAAAATCTACTCATTTAGCATGAATCCCATACATGATAACATTTTATTACCTATAGTCCTCATACACATTATGTCTCTAGACTTACTCATCCTACATATCTGCTCCTTTGTATCCTCTGACATACTTCTCCCCATTTCTTCCCCCTGCCCATGTTTTGTTCTCTATCTCTGTACTATACAAATGTTTAAAAAAATTAAAATACAAAGTTTGCAATATAACTGGTGAGGTGACATATGTTTTGCTTTTAATAAGAAATATCAAAAAATAGAGATATCAGGTTGTAATTCAGCAGTTTTTATCAACTGGTGGGGACCAGTCAGTTGCTCTATCCAATAACAAAGACAACAGCAACTCCAGCTTC